GACAAAGTTCCAACCAGGGGAACGTCCAACACAAGTTAGACCTGAGGACAACCTTAGGCCTGAGGGTGAATTTTACACTCCAGAAAAACCTGGATATAGGCCAGCAGAACGTCCAACTCAGAAACGGCCAGAAGACAATTTGAAACCAGAAGGAGAGTTCTATAAACACGAGAAACCCAGTTATCAACCCGCCGAACGTCCAATGCAAAAGAAACCTATAGATAATTTGAAGCCCGAAGGCGAGTTTCTTGTTCCGGAAAAAGAAATGTATAGACCTGCTGAAAAAATTGAACGTGTTATTAGAAAGGACAATTTACGCACAGAAGGTGAAATGACATTCGAAACAAAAGAAGAATATCAGTTTGTTAGTAGGCCTAATCAAGTGAAACCCACAGATAATCTAAAGCCAGAAGGCGATTTTTATGCTCCAGAGAAATCTATATATAAACCAGCTGAAAAACCTTTACAAATCAGACACGAAGACAACTTAAAACCCGAAGGCGAATTCTATACTCCACAAAAACCAGGTTTCACACCCGCAGAGCGTCCAATTCAAAAGCGACCAGAAGATAATTTGCGTCCAGAAGGTGAATTTTATGTACCAGACAAGCAGGAATTTAAGGCTGCTGAAAGACCTACTCAATTGAAACCTGAAGATAACTTAAGACCGGAAGGCGAGTTCATGATTCCCGAAAAAGAAATATATAAACCCGCCGAAAAAATTGTGCGTGTAATAAGGAAAGACAACTTGCGCTCAGAAGGGGAAATTATTTTTGAAAAAAAAGAAGAATATCAATTTGTAAATAGACCAGAGCAAGTCAAACCGGTAGATAATCTTAGATCGGAAGGGGAATTCTATACCCCAGAAAAACCAAAATACCAACCTGCTGAAAAGCCAGTGCTAATTCGACATAAGGATAATTTAAAACCGGAGGGTGAATTCTATACACCCGAGAAACCTGGTTTTGAACCTGCGGAACGCCCAACTCAGAAAAAACCCCAAGACAATTTGAGACAGGAGGGAGAGTTTTATGCTCCTGATAAACCAGACTACCAGTCCACTGACCGACCTATTGCAAAGAAACCTGAGGACAATTTAAGACCAGAAGGTGAATTCACTATTCCGCAGAAAGCACCTTACCAACCAGCGGAAAAAGTCGAACGTATTGTTAGAAAGGATAACTTGCGATCAGAGGGTGAGATGACTTTTGAAACAAAGGAAGAATATCAGTTTGTTGTTCGGCCCGAGCAATTGAAACCCACTGATAATCTAAAACCGGAAGGCGAATTTTATGCTCCGGAAAAACCGAAGTATCAGCCGGCCGAAAAGCCATTGATTATTAGACGTGAAGATAATTTGAAACCAGATGGGGAGTTTTATAAACCACAAAAAGTCGATTTTGTTCCAGCAGATCGCCCTTCTCCAGTTAAGCATGAAGACAACCTTAAACCAGAAGGGGAATTTTATACACCCGAAAAACCTGGTTACCGGCCGGCGGAGAGGCCAACTCAAAAAAAACCTCTTGATAATTTACGTCCTGAAGGAGAGTTCACTCTTCCAGAGAAAAGCACTTACACTCCAGCTGAAAGAGCAGAACGAATAATCAGAAAAGATAACTTGCGAACTGAAGGGGAGATGATATTTGAAGTAAAAGAAGATTATCAATTTGTTAATAGACCTGAGCAAGTCAAACCTATTGATAACCTCAAACCAGAGGGAGAATTTTACACTCCAGAAAAGACAAGGTATCAAGTTTCAGAACGGCCTTCCCAAATTAAACCTGAGGATAATTTGCGACCCGAAGGTGCGTTTACAGTACCAGAGAAGTTAGTATACAAACCGGCTGAAAAGGTTCAACGTATCATAAGGAAAGACAATCTCCGCTCAGAAGGTGAAATGAATTTTGAAAGAAAAGAAGAATATACGTTTGTCATTAGACCTGATCAGATTAAACCCACTGATAATCTCAAACCCGAGGGTGATTTCTATACTCCCGAAAAACCAAAATATCAGCCAGCTGAGACTCCGTTAGTTATTAAACGTGAAGACAACTTGAAGCCTGAAGGTGAGTTTTATATACCTGAGAAAACAAGTTATAGGCCCGCAGAGCGTCCAATACAAAAGAAGCCTGAAGATAATCTTCGAACAGAAGGCGAGTTTTATTCTCCAGAAAAATCCGATTACATACCCGCCGAACGACCTATTCAGAAGAAGCCAAAAGATAACTTACGTCCTGAGGGCGATTTTTACACACCTGAAAAACCTGATTATAGGTCAGCAGAAAAAGTCGAACGTATTATTAGGAAGGACAACTTACGCACCGAAGGCGAAATGACTTTCGAAACAAAAGAAAAATATGAATTTGTTAGCAGGCCGGATCAAGTGAAGCCTATTGATAATTTAAAGCCAGAAGGAGAGTTTTATACGCCAGAAAAACCAAAATTCCAACCCGGTGAACGGCCGTCACAAGTGAACCATGCAGACAATCTACGGCCTGAGGGAGAATTTTATACACCAGAGAAACCTGGGTATAAACCCGCCGAACGTCCTGTACAGAAGCGTCCGGAGGATAATTTGAAGCC